ACCATCCCACAAAAAAATCAACATAACATACCAACACAATAAAAGTACTAACCTGCCACAATACGATTGGCGTCAACCCCACTTGATTAACAACAACAAACACCGCCGGAAATGAACACATCCACGGATTACAGCCGGCGACGGAAAATATGGCCAAAATCTCAGACAATATCTCCACACTCTCTCTCCACAAACCAATGAGATCAATGTTAACCAATTAACCCAGACTCCCCCACGATAACATTTCCTTATCCCCACAAAAACAAAAACAGTCAATTAGGAAATAACAATCACACAAAGGATATACATGTAAAATCGAATAGCATCCAACCCATCTAAATAAACCTTACAAAAAAAAAGAGACTAATTGGTGTACAAAAAAACTTCAGGATCAAATGGTTTAACTTTAATCCATATAGGATTTATAAATATTTTTCTTAAAAAAATAACATAATTAAAAATATATATAATACACCCCTAGTGTATATTATAATTTCCCCCACTCACTGACCACCTCATCATGTTTTGTCATATATTTTAAAACATTAAAAGGTGACAAAACGCAAAAAAGTGAGCAAATCAATAATTTATGCTTTACTTTTCCTTCAAATGACGATGGCTTACATAATGGGAAGTAATCATCTCTCAACTCCTTTCATAACATTGAAAGTTAACTTTAAAATAACATATTAAAAATATATAAACCAGCTTATAAATGAAAAACAACTAATTATGAGTTTGTGCTGGAACAAGTTTAAAAACTATAAAGCTTTAGTAGTGATATAGACCTGTGAAATTTGCACACACAAAAATCAGTACAAAAAAATTAAAATTTATTTAAAAGTGCCGGTCCTATTTTATAATAATTAAATATAATCCATGCATCCTCAATTTTTTCGATACATTTTTGGTACATTATTATGTATTCAGAGTCTTTATGATAAAGTTTTATCGAATGCTAAATTTTCCCAATAACAACTATTAATAACCAGAAGACAAAAAAAATAAAAATAAATAACGTGGAGTCATGACTCACATAGTAAGATAGTTAAGATGGTCGAATAAATTGATAGCAAGTCAACTAGTTTGTTAAATTATTGATGTATGTGTAAAAGTAGTTATAAGATTAAATTGCAGACGATTTACTTGTAAATCAACAATTTGTGGGTATCCACATGAGGATTGACACGTCAGTCAAACAAACGTCAAACAAACGGGAAATGGAGAAGTAAAGGCTTGTCCATAGCGACGCATCATATTTTCTATAGTCTCTCATCTTTTATCTCCTAACAATTGTTATGTTTTTGTTTTATTTTATGACAATTGTTATGTTCTATTATTAAATCCGTTGTTAGCATTTGAATCATATCTCTCCTCAATTAATATAACCGTACTTTTGCATATGCAACATAAAAACTTCCTTCTAACCAATTGAAATCCATGTTTATAAACAACATTCATGTTATTAGAAAGCATTACTCAAGAATGGAAAATTTGTCATAACGTTATGATTGATTATTCAGTACTCTCGGAGTATAGACACGTGATACTCCATAAGGTTTTGATTGATGGAGAGGCGTAAGGGCCCACAATTCATGTTGAAGGTAGGGGAACAACATGAGGCTAAGTAATTAGTGATTGGTTTGGAGTATAGCCACATGGTACTCCGGGAGTATTGAATAATTTCCCTAATGTTATATGGATTTCTTCAATATATCTGTCATTGCGACTTAATTAGTTAATTCCTTGTTATTTTAATAATTTATAAAAGGAATGCTTTTGTAGTTGTAGGAATCAAAAATGAATGAGCCCTTTCATAAAGGATTTGAATGTCATAATAAAATAAATTAATAAATATAGATAAACCATGAAAAACTAGAATGAGGAAGAAAACAGAAAGGTCTTGAAGAGATTTAGTTATCTGATATGCATATACAATATGTTGTTCATTTACTTCAAGAAAGTTGTTGAGGGAGCAACCTTTTAGTGAGTGCCATAAATCCCATATTTCACATATGTACCATAAATAATTTAATCTCAATAATTATTAATTTAATCTCAATAATTATTGAGGCAACATAGTTTAAATTTTCTTAAAAATTATAAAACAAAACTACAAGAACAATACAAACTTAAACATTAAGTGAAAGTAAAAGTAAAAGCGCAATGATATATAGTGCACATACATGCATTTGATTTGTGAACATTTTTTTTTTTAATTTATAAAATCTTTATTTTGTCTCTTATATATACTACAAAAATGTATAAGATCCCATTTTTTTTTTCCACTCCTTTGACCCCCCTCTCTCTCATTGGTTTGATTTTTTTTTCTTTTTTTTTGTTTCCCTTGTCCTTCAATCACCACCTGCCACATGTGTGTGGGGGTGATGGGGTGGTGATTGGAGAGAGTCTCCATCACTCCTCTATATACTATTCACATGAGCGTGAGATGGTAAAAGGCAATGTACATTATTGTTCTAATTTTCCACTCCATCATAATTTGTTGGCTATTATCCATGCCATGTCGGCATGCGAAAGGCATAATGTAATATAATTATACCACATGATTGCATAATTTGTGTGTTTTAAAGTTGTTTTAACATTTTATTTTGCTTTCATTATCTTTAGATCGGTCTTAGAGGTTCATTAATAAACTAAAAAAAAAAAAACCCATTTTAATAGTTAAAATGTGGAACAAAGTATTTATTGATTATTTTACATACACGTTTAATGCGGCAATATGACACATGCATAATTTTGGAAACTATAGATAATAATTTGAAATATATTGAAATATTTAATTGTTCAATTCAAGGAAGATAATGAGAAAAAACTAATTGAATGCCACAAAAAAAAAAAAAAAAAAAACCAAAGAAGAAAGACAATTACTAGTGAAAAATTTATAATGTAATGTCGTCCTTTATAAAAATAAATGTTAAAACATTTGCTTAAACAAATTTTTCTTAAATCAAACAATATGCTTTAAAACATTTATTTTTTTAATTATAAACAAATTTATTTGTCACATCTATGTTGTTTTTATAAATTTTAAAAGTATACTTGCAATTAAAGTGTTTTAAATTCGTATGCAAAATAAATTAAAAAGATAAAATATTTTGGAAACAGGATTTCATGAGTTTAAAGTCGATTCAACAATTGATTTTTTTTGTATTTTTATTTATTTATTTTAAAAAAGGAGTTGTTTAAACTAACTTAAATAGGGGGAAAAATTACTATTATTTGTTTTGTGTATATATATTATTTTTTAAATAAATATATTTTTATTTTGTAGACTATCCTAAATTAGTCCAAACTGAATTTTTAAATTTTTTTACTAGAGACACAAAAAAATAAAAAAAGTTTTAATGATATTTTTTTAATGAGTGTCATTAAAAAACAATAAACATTTGATGTGTGTATTTGGTAAAAATTTGAAAGATTCACACCACAATTTTATTTCCGATGTAGCAAAAAAGAATCACACCACAATAAATGTCAGGATTTTTTTTTTCACAAAAAATAATAAATATTATATAAATTAATTATTAAAATCATAAATTTTTTTATTAATGTGTAATATTTTTTAAAATATTATAAACGATAATAGTAAAGTTAAGGTCTTGTTTGGAAACATGCTATTTTAGTAATTTTTTGACTAAAATATGAGGTAAAAAAAATTAGGGTTGCGCTTGGTAGAGTTTTTTAAATATGGTTTGAGAATAGAGTTATATTTCGAGTTTGTGAGTTTTGGAATTATAATTTGAGTGTGAAAAATTTGTTTGGTGAATGAGTTTTGAAAAGAGTTTTGAATTGAGTGGGGAATTTTTGATATGACATATGATATTTGATATAAAAACTTACAACTCATAACTAAACACACAACTCAATATTCTATTAAAGCTCATAGAAAATTTTAAAAAATTCAGAAAATATTTTTTAATGAATATATAAAAATTAATACGTGTCAATTGCAACAAAAAAAAAAATTTGCACTGTTCCGGTCAACTGGCCGGACGACCGGTGGAATGTTCGGTGGAACGATCGGTTAGCCTAAATTTTATCGCCTTCCACCGCGTTTTCAAAAGTGAGTGTAGAATTAATTTTTAAAAATCGTAAACAAAAGCCATTTCAAATCAAGCTCTGAAACTAACGTTTCAAAACTCTACCAAACAGAGTTGAGTATGTTTGGAATGATTTTTTAGCATTTTACAAAAAAATGTGTAAAAAGTAGAGAAAAAAGAGAATTTTTAACTTTTTAGTATAAGTTATAAGTTTTTTGAATTTTTTAATAACTTTTTGAAAACACGTGTATCCCAAACGAGGTAGGTCCCATATGTGAGTCCCACACATGTAAGTGTCATTTATTATAAGAGGACTGTATTCTATTCTGTGTTTGATTTCTAAGCATATAAACGTAGAGGTTGTTTGAGATGATATCCGCTTAACATTTTATTAAAAAATATGTTAAAAAATAGAGAAATTATGTGACTATATATTTATGTAGAAAAATGTTTGATGGCCACAGTTTTTGTGGCTCAAATGACTCAATATTGTTAAAACGACGTCGTTTTAATAATTTTGAAGTTGTTTTGTATTCAAAACGATATCGTTTTGACAATTTCGAGCCATTTGAGCCAAAAAAATTGTGACCCTCAACCATTGCTGATTTATGTAAATCTCGTTTGCCAATTATATATTTTAATTAAAAATAATTATAAATTATCATATTACTTTCTTTATTTTTTACGTATTATTTATAAAAAAAAAATTATTAAAATAATTTATCCCCAAACAATGCCTTAATTTACGTCAAATATTGCTTTACTCCAAAAGGTAATTTTCCCTAAAAATTTATTGCATGTCCTCGTTGTCATTTTGTGTAACAAATTTCCAAAGAACTGAGTTTGTCACGCGCAAAATAAGAGCGTGGACAGACAGCATCAAGTGCCGAAATACGAGTGTCCCGCTGGAGCAATTCCGGCAATAAAGTGACCCACCTCACTCCTCTCCACCCCCTCTCTCTCTCTCATCTCAATTTGCTGAGGTCTCACTTCTCTCTCTCTCTCTCTCTCTCTCCATCTCCATACCACCTATCAAGATCTATCTGCATATCACTCTCATTCCTGTCTCTCTAGCAGAACCTCCCAATCTCTTTCTCTTCCTTTTTTTTTGTTTTTTTTTTTCTGTACTTTCTAGATCTCTCAACCTGATTTCATGGATCTATAAACCCACCCACCTGCATTGTTGTCTTTCGTCTAGGGTTTACGAGCCACATGCTTGGTTCGCCATTCTTGCTCTTTCGAAGCCATGCAATCGCTTGCTTCGAGCAAAGGAGCTGATTATCAACTCCGCCGCTGTTGCCAACAGGAGCTACACCGGAACCCTAGAAACACTCGCTGAGACTCCAGCGAGGCATTCGAGCTTGGCGGTCTTTGTTTCTGATGATGGTGTGTTTGAATTTTGTTGTGAAGAAGAGAGAAGATGCGAACTCTAATGCTCCTTCGTTTTCTTCTTGCTTTGCTCACTCTCGTTTCATCTAGCTCTAGCTCTGGTAATTAAATTCTCAGCTTTATGCGTTGTTTGGTTGTTAGACTCAAAGGTATATATTATTTGTGTTTTATTTGGATACAGTTTCTTGGCAACTAAATGTTGGTTCAAATTTAATTTAGGACAATCCTTTGTTGCAGTCATTAGGCTGATTTATTGGGGTGTCAATGTGAAACTTTTCCCGATAAAGAAAAAGAAGTAATTTTGTGTAGCTATTATGAAAATCATGGACCGATTTTGGAATGTTAAAGAGTGTTTTTGGTTGATTTGAACCTGTAAATAGTGTAATTAGGGTTGGAAGGTTCCCATTTGGAATTCTCATTGTTTTGTACCCAGAAAGGAATATATCAGGAATGGTAGAGACCCACAATTTAGAACCCACAATTCACCAACATTGGCGTGGCAAGGGAGTTGTGTTACATAGTCCGTGTCAATTTCCGGGTAAATTAGGGGAGGCCTTATAGGGGTCTCAATTCTTCTTCTTATGGATGTATACCCAGTTAGTAGAACTCATAGCCATGCAATTTGTGGTTTTGGTATCTGATAACTAGGTCACACTTTCACTTGGAGATTAAAGTCTACTTGGCTCTACTGTAAAGCCAGAGTTTACGGACAACCAGTCACATTCTGCCACCTCACAAAAAAATGATTTTCACCAAAATTTTATCACCTACTTACACCTTCCAGTACGTGATTAATGCCCTCCCCCTTCCATGTCTGCGTCTTTTACCCTTTTCGTCAGCAACCACTGACCACTGCCACTGTCAATGACTGCCCTTCCCTTGCCATTAATCACCACCACTTCTCCACTCCTCACCCCACCACTGAATAGGGCCAAGCAGATCTAATCATCCATGGCTGAAAACTCGCGCACGCAATTGGTTGATGAATATTGGTTGAGTGACAAACAACCAGTCGTTCTCCGTCGTCGATTTGTTGACGGAGTTTTGTTGTCATCGATCAAGGATGCTCATCGTGCTTTATGTATGTGCGATTGCAGTGACATGGGTACATATATACATATATACATATGTAAATAGAGAGAGTAGTGGAATGAGTAGGGGATGGGGAAGGGAGGGAAGGGCTTGGAGGAGCAATGGTTGGTGGTTGATGGCTGGTAGTGTCGACGACGTAGAAGAGGCAAAAAGGAAGGGGAGGGAGGTTATTAGTTGTGAGAGGGTGTAGCTAGGTGTAACTTAAAAATTTACGGGCTTCACAATTTTATTGAAGTGGCAGTACGTAATTGGCGGTCCATAAATCCGTTGGTTCATGGGGAAACTGTATAAAATGTATTCTCTTTGTGTTTTGTGATTTTACAGTACTATTTTTTGGTTTACTTTTTAAAAAAATTATGCTTTTTTGTTAATCCCAATGCATGATTGTTAACGCTATTGTTTGTGAATCTTAATTGCACACGTGCAGTTAATTTGTCATTAATATGCAGTAAATGATGGAGGCTTGCTTGTCTATGTATTGCACAGATTATCAATGGTTTCCTTTGTAACCAGCACATTTATTTCCATGTGTGAGAAAGATATTGTGATGGGGTGAATTTAACTTTCCTCTCTCACCTCCCCAACTCATAAAAACTATTCACAACGGGATAGCAAATACAAATATTGTTGGTATTTATCAAAGTTTTGTTTAAAGTCTGACCCCACTCATATGAGACAAATATATAATGGAATATATACATCAAACTTATGAAAATACTCATTGTAAGCTGTTGTTCATATCTAATGAAGAATATGAAAATTCAAGTAAATTTATGTTGTCCATTTAGCTAAGCTAAACCTATAGCACACTCGTAAAATTAAGCACCAAACCTGCTTACCTTAAATGATGATGACTTACCTATTTTTAGGTTTTTTTTTATCACTGACTCCGAGTAATTGAGTAACAAAGTCAAACTTACAGCATTTGTGGATCTATTATGCTTTGGTCTACAATAGGAGATGCCTTGGTCAAATTGCAACATTCTGGAAAGAACCAATAGATCCAAGGATGATATGAACTTCTCTAGGGGTACCTAGCCTTTATCAACTGTTTATATGTCAGTCACTTGAACTAATTACACTCAGAGACTGTCTTACAAATAAAGAAACATTCAGTCACGTATTCTGATGAAAATCCGAGCATCCTCTGTCTTTGTTCATTAAATTATTCTGATGAAATTTTTTGAATGCTTCAGGGCTCCCGTTGCTGCATACATACTTGTCTCCTACTCTACTGCCAAGCCAGTCATTATTTCTGAGGGAAATCTCACCGGAGCATGGTAAAGGTGGAAATTATTCTTTCCAAAGAATGGGAGTTTACTTTTCTTATTCTTGCTTTCTTCTGCCATTTTGTTTTTTGGTTTTGGTTTTCCCCGCGGGCGCGCGCGCGTGTGTGTTTTTTGTTGCATTTGTCATTTTTTTTGTTTCCCTCATTTGGAATTAAAATCTGACTTGGACATACAGGAAATAAGATTAACCAATGACAATTACTTGTGTATGTGCACCTGTGCAGAGATGCACTTATATTTGTGCATGTGTATGATTATTTGATGCACAGGAGGTAAACGTTTTTTTGGGTGAGTCGCAGGAGGTAAACGTTAACCAATCAAAAACTAATATTAGATAAAATTATGATGTTTTTATATGTCATGAGGTGCTTGGCATTGCTTCCCGATTGCACCACTAACGATTGTCATACTGACCGTGCCAATATGCATCTAACTAGTGATTATTAATGTGTCTACATGGAAGAAATGCCTCAAAAAACTTACTGTATGCTATCACTACTGGTAATGTTAATTTATTTCAGGAAGAAAGGTTGTCAATGCCTGCAGTTGCTTGAGAATGAAAACATGATCAAATGATAGAGAGCATGTCTGATTCCTTTAATAAATCAGTTTCAATTTCTGGCCTTTGAATCCAATGAACCATGGATTGGACGGCCATTACCTGAAATGACAATATGTGCAGGGGGCTGCCACACCCAATAAGGTTCATCTTGCGCGTATGGGCTACTGTGACACTTGAAATTGGAAGGATAAACAAACCAACCAGTGGACTGCCAAGCTACAAGTCCTATGATACGAGCATGGGACTCTCTAAACTGCCAGGGGTGTGGATGGCCAAGAGGGCCCCACTTGGGTACTTCAGTCAGCAGGAAATGCGTTATTAGCTTTTCCAATTCATTTATTAGATATTTAGATTAAATTATATTTATATATATGCTTGGTATATGTTCTTCCTAACCTTATAATGGGAGTCAATATTTTGCTGCTTGATAGCTTTTGTTTCTCTCTCCCTTGCATCTTGGTGGTAATCCCAGCTTATCAAGGTCTTATTCTTCTTTTCTTTCGATATTTATGCATGTTCCAGTAGATCACATGGAGGTGTTGCATTGTTGTTTGCAGGGAGGCCTATGCCAATGAGTGCATCATTTGCTCCATCAGTGTCTCCCCGTGTGCCAAGGCTCAACCCTATTTTGGAGCCATCGGTTGTACGTGCTCCTTCTCCGTTGTATCAAGGTACCTAGTGTATCATAGTGTGAACCCTTTGCACTTTCCAATTTATGGCTTTGCACTGTGTGTATATGTGGGCATGTGTGTGTCTGTGGTTCTCTCTTCTTAGGACTTCTCCCTGATGTTGAAACTCCTCTTTTAGGTCCTGTTGCTGGTCCTACCACTAGTAACTTGCCAAGACATCATCGTCATCACCATCATATGAAACCTATTTCAATCTCCCCAGCCCCTTCTAAACCAGGTATATTTGAGTGCTAGTTACTGAACTATTTAGTCAGGTCCATCTCCCCCTCCTATTGATAATCTCCATATACTAAGAATGTAGAGTTGCGGTGCCAAAAAACACAAGTATAAAGACAATTGAAATGTCTTAAAAAAATTGGTATATTTATAACAGAAATCCCTGTCATTTAGTTTCTTTTCATCCATGCTAATTTGAAAGTCATATACCAAGAGTAGCTTAAGACATCAAAAAAATAAAAATGAAAGACCTATTTTTGCTCATACCATATCAAATGTTTAAACTAAAAGTCAAGCCATCATGATTACAGTATTGGATTGCTAGTCAAGTTATGATAATTTGACTACAATCCAATGGAAATTATTTGGTGGTCTTGGGCAAGTCCATGTGATGTCCCAATCTGATTTTTATTGGTTACAACAGAAGAGCCCAGTACTTTTGTGTTGGTTTTGGAGAGACAACCTGACGAGTGTTATGTGATGCATTGCTTCAAGACCACCAAATAACCTCTCCAATCCAATAGTGCAAAACCATAATGGTATGAGCAATCCAATAGTATACCAGATTCTTACTGTTGTTTTGCCAAAAGAAAATTCAACTTCACAAGTTTCAAAATTTCTATGCAGTTTTCTTACTGGAAAATAAGTAGAACTGTGCAAGTATTTGACCCTATTGAGAAGGTGTTAGGCTTCTTAATTATATGGAACGAGTCTTGAGTTTTAATCATTTCTGGTTTCTTGAGCTTCAACTCTCACATATAAGCACACCCTTTACTAAAAACACAAGTAAAGGAGCAAAAAACTCTTGAGAATTGGGCTCTGTGTACTTTCAACCATTGGCCTTCTTTGGTACCACCTTGCCTATTTATTTTTAGAGATCAAATTGTAGACAATTTGTTTGTTGTCTTTCTGTTTTAATATAAGCAGATTTGTTTCAAACTTTGCATTGTGGATCCAAGTTCTCTATTTTGTCCAAATAAGACCATGGCACTATGCACTCTCAATAGCGCTTTCACAAACTTGGCCTGAATTCAGCAATTCCAAAATTTCAGAGCACAAATTGATGAGTAAGAGTGCCGATCCAATATCAGGCCGCTCTTTAGTTGAATATTTTATGGATTTTGACCAGGCTTATTGTAGACTTGCAAGCATCCTATTATTTGGTGGCTTGAGGAGAGTTAAACACACATAAGAATTAAAACATTATCTGTGCAGTGAACGGATTGAGAATTGAACTAGCAACCCCTTTAACTTGTTCAAAATGTAAGGCACTTACCATTGCGCTACCTCTTGTATTGTTTAAAATTTTCTTTCTATTATTATAAGTATATGCAAAATATGCATTAAGTAAATATGAATCATGGAAGCTTGATTTTGCTCTAAATATGGCTCTATGTAATAGTTAATGCATAAAACTGATTTCAGTGCTCTGTAGATGCTCTCACTCCCAAGACATTTTCATCAAGGACACTCTCCCACTCTCGCTCCACTCATGAACTGGTCACTTGGATCTAGATATGAGCTCTATTTAGCAGTGGACTGAGCAAACACTACACTTCTTAATTCTCGTAAAGAATTCCTTGTTCCAAAGTACAGCAGTGTGATGGTCTAACTTTCTGTAAGGTTTCCATGTTTTGTGAGAAAAAGCTCTATCTAGGACGTTCAGTGAGGTCCTTTATCCTTGTTAGTGCTGGCCATATTAGATATATTTATGTATTTAATTTACTTTCGTGGTTTCACATCTGTTGCTTGTCTTGTGATAAGAAACCAAGGCCTTGTTTGGTTTAACTCTCAAAACATAATTTTTGAAAAAAATTTGTAAAATTTTGTTTGGTTGAAAATTTTTTGAAATTTTTTTCCAAAATTACTTTTTCTCTCCTATACATCAATCAATCATTTTTTCTCTCTCCTCTCTCATTCTCAATCACTTTTTCTCTCACACACATCTACAACAAAATATTAAATCATCTCAAACTCTCATACTCCAAAACTATTTCCACAATATACAACCAAACAAATCAAAAAAAATTCTAAACTCTTTCTCCAAGATTTTTTTTTGAAAATTTATCTCCCAAAACCAAACCAAACACACCCCAATTGATTGAAATAAAAAAGGAAAGAATAAAGAGGACTTAAATGTCCATCTAAGCAAGTGTTCTATCAAACTATAGAAAAAGAGAAAGCATGTCTGTATTTACTAAAAATTGCTTAATATACTTTTTTTAACGTGTGTATTAAGTAAACTTGAGTGGGACAATGTGCGCTAAGAGGTGGATTTGGTATGTCAAGGATGTGATGGTTTTGAATGACCCATGATAGTATTCTAGTCTCTAGACTTTCAACACATTCAAATAACAATCGGTATTCGTATTTCTAGTGTACAAGAAATGCAGAATGTTGGAACAGGACCAAAGTTGAAACACAAAGGTGCAAAATTGGAGAAAAAAAAAAGGAGATGACGCTTTAAAATTATTATTATTTTTTATGTTAGTTATTAGATGTATTCTTAAATAACTCTCATTACCGTTTCTTGTTTACTTTTAGATCTGTGGTAAATTTGGGTTATCTTGGTAGTTTGTTCTTTTTCTTGCCTGTTATAATAGATTTATGCTATTCTATGATATTGTTTGCCTATTTTAACATTGTGCATATTATTTCAATGTCCCGATCTCCCTCTCTCTCCTTCCCCCCTTTTTTATTATTTTATTTTTTATGTTTTTATGAGATGCTTTATTTAATAGCTTTGATAGTCAAATCTTTTCTTTCTTTTCCTTCTTTTTTTTTCCAGGTTGTGGTCAAATATGTGCAGAGCCATTTACTTCAAATCCCTTGGATTCCCCATGTGGTTGTGTGTTTCCAATGAAAGTCAGACTTCTTTTAGATGTATCTCTCTATGCTATCTTCCCTGTGGTTAGAGAACTTGAGATTGAAATTGCAGAGGGCACATATTTAAAACAAAGCCAAGTGATTATTATTGGTGCCAGTGCTGATAGTGAAAATCAGGGAAGAACAGTGGTGGATGTTAATTTGGTTCCTTTGGGAGAGAAGTTTGATAATACTTCTGCTATGTTGACTTATGAGAGATTTTGGCAGAAGAAGGTGCCTCTAAATAAGACTCTTTTTGGCAATTATGAAGTGATGTACATCAATTATCCAGGTAGCAATCTCAGATCTTTGAGTTTTTGTCTATGTTATGTTATGTGATAATGCTGTTGGGAGTCTGAAAAAGTTAATTAACAGGGCTTCCTTCTTCGCCGCCATTTGAGGGTTCCATGGGTAATGGTCCAAGTGGAAGTGCTGGAAGTCAGCAATTCCCTATTACTGCAGATTTTGTTGACAAGGACCCGAAGATGAACTCTAAAACTATTTTCACCATTGCTTTATCTGCATTGGTAATCTTGGTGGTTTGCTGTGGAGCAATTTCTATCATCTTAAAATGTAGGAAGGTTGGTAGACCATCAAATGCTGTTGGTCCTGTCTTTACACCAGCTGCTAATAAGAGACCTGGTAAGTTTGTGTGTTTGTTCTTACTTGTTAGAAATGATACACAGAATTGGATATAATTGCATCCATGTTCATAAAATGGTTTGGAACGTAGGCTAGTAATGCACATCAAGTCATTGGCTCGATGCTTGTATGTTTTCCTGCTTAGCTCTTTAGGAGCGCATGTCTATCTTCCTCATTTTTACTTCAATAATGCTTTTTTCCTTATTTTCTTTATAATGAGGACACATATCCAAGAATCATCCCAAAGTAGTTTCCATGAAAAAATTCAGTGGATTTTCTTTTTTTGCTGAAATACTTGTTCCCTCTTGTTAGAAAGATTCTACTCTGGCTTGTTTATTGCTTAACATGAATAGCGACAAGGTTTGATGGTTGTGGTGTGCCACCAGAGCTGATTTCATTCATAAAAGTTTCTATTTTTCTACCTCATATGTTCTGCGAACTTTGCTTCACTAGATTCTGATAGTTACTAGTTTTAATGAATTACAAATCTTAGTGAACCATTTTTCAGTCTTGCTCACAAAGACAATCTTATATTTTCATAGTTTTTGAAAATGTGGGAGTCTAATTCCTTCTGAGAAAAAGGAGTTGTACATCATTGAAATTGAGTGAATTATTCCTATACCTGTATGCTGTGTGCACACATAAAAATCATTTTGTGACTTCATGTTACTCTTGTAATTGGCTCAATTGCATCTTGTACATTGCTGAGTTGGGAAAGCAAGTTGTGTTGGATAACCATTCTGTTCGATGAGATGGATTATCAAGTCAAATAAAATGTATATATATATGTATTTTTACTCAGCGATAATCATTGCTATGACATTATGTTATATAAGTAATAGTGTAATACCAAACCAAACCAAGCCTTAAGTCCCATCATAAGTAATAGTGTAATGAGTCCTTTATTTAGTTATTTATTTTCCTTTTGTCGTATTGGATTGCCCCAAATTTAGCAATCCAGCTGGCGAATATTTACTCTATTTCTATTTCATTTGTAGGGTTAGCTATTTGTTCTTGTTGATGACAAATTAACTTGTGTATAAAATTAGTTCAGAGCTACACTTGTACCTCAAATATCCTTAGAGCCCAAAGTCTCATGACTGTCATCAACCTGTTTAACTAGAAGTAATCAGCTACCTTTGGCATGCTTGAATTGGAGCTGATGTAGAAACATTACAATGAGTTTTTTGTCTTTATAATATTGGCCTTACCATATTTTATCTTTTCTATTTTATACATAGATTAAAATTCATGCATTACACTTAGTTTTCTATTTTGTAAAGCATAATGACTTTTCAATTTTGGTTCTGCTTAAACTTTTTCTTCTTGCTTTGTATGTCACATGATATGTGTTCTCTTTGTTCACTGTATTAATTGCGGGGAACTAGCTGGAGGGACGTGGAATATGATGGTTGATAGATACTTTTGTCTGTGTTTTTCAATTCATCTATCTAAAGTTATGGAGATCTTGCAAAACAGAAATGAATTTTTGTTGTATGATGCAGGAACTGGTTCTATTTTATCATGTAGCAATGCAAGCTCAACTTCAGTATCCCTCATTTCTGCCATGCCTACTTCCATTCTTTCTGTTAAAACATTTTCCCTTGCGGAGCTTGAGAAAGCCACAGAAAAGTTTAGTTCAAAAAGGGTTTTGGGTGAAGGAGGATTTGGTCGTGTTTATCATGGGATCCTGGAAGATAGAACTGAAGTTGCTGTTAAATTGCTCACAAGGGATATTCAGAATGGGGATCGTGAATTTATTGCAGAAGTTGAGATGTTAAGCCGATTGCATCACCGTAACCTTGTGAAACTGATTGGCATATGCGTTGAAGATCATACACGCTGCTTGGTTTATGAGCTTGTTCGCAATGGCAGTGTTGAGTCTCATTTGCATGGTATAATATTTTGCAACCTTTGAAATTGTCCCTCTTTTTTTATTCCATTTTGTGTAATATTGGTGGGTTAAGCACATCTTCTTTATCTTTATGTGTATAGTACATCAAATCATTCCTACCACCATATCTGGTAGTACCTCATGGGATGGCAATGTTGCAGTCCTTTGATCCTGTATTTCGTCGAAAGAAACAGACTTAAGAATACAAAATTCATCATCATTCTTGTTGGTGTTTCAGGTGCCGATGGGAGAAATGGGCATCTTGACTGGGATGTGCGATTGAAGATTGCACTTGGTGCAGCTAGAGGACTGGCTTATCTTCACGAAGATTCTAACCCTCGTGTAATTCACCGAGATTTTAAGGCTAGTAATGTTTTGTTAGAAGATGATTTCACCCCCAAGGTTTCAGATTTTGGGTTGGCAAGGGAAGCAACAGAAGGAAGTCATCACATTTCAACTCGGGTCATGGGAACTTTTGGGTATGTGCTATTCTTGCATAACCTATCATTATGTCCAAAAATCGTACAAAATTCCTTAGTATTCCTGAGCTGTACTGATATTTTCTTTACCATATGAACCATAATAAACAATATTTTGATAGGACATCTACTGCTGAGTGTTCTGACTTCCTGAACATTGGTGCGATTCCCAAATCTTCTGGAAGTCACCATTTATACCCTTGTCTCATCACAACTACCCATAATATGTTTTCCCTTCAAGCTTAGCAGATAATAAATAAACAAACAAACAATTAAATTAAATATTTTCGAAAACAAAACTAAAGGTTTATATTGTTTAAATTTCTGAAATTCTGGCCCCTTTTTTTAAAAAAAAAAAATCTGACGTTTTGGCTGCCTAAATTTGCTTGAATTTCAAGCTATATCTTTTGTTAAATAAATTCCTGAATCTTATTTTTTTAACTAATACGACAGCTTGTATTATTATCTACGTGGTTTTCATTTGTTGTGAGCCGACTTTGTGTACATCTTTTGATGGATTTATAACTTGGATTTGCAGGTATGTTGCTCCTGAATATGCAATGACAGGACATCTACTTGTCAAAAGCGATGTTTATAGTTACGGGGTTGTGCTTTTGGAGCTTCTCTCCGGGAGGAAACCCGTGGATATGTCTCAACCTCCCGGACAAGAGAACCTTGTGACTTGGGCCCGCCCCCTGCTTACCAGCAGGGAAGGATTGGAGCAGTTGGTGGACCCCTCCTTGTGCAGAAACTACAACTTCGATGACATGGCAAAAGTGGCAGCCATTGCTTCCATGTGTGTTCACCCCGAGGTGACTCACAGGCCATTCATGGGTGAAGTTGTGCAGGCACTGAAACTCATATACAACGATGCAGACGAGACTTGTGCTGATTGCTATAGTCAGAGAGAGTCTTCAGCAGCTTGGGACTCCGATTTCAAAGCCGATTTTGGCCCTTCAGATAGCAGTTGGTGGAATGCTGGCGGGGCTACACCGCGCTTGACTTATGGGCACGCCTCTTCTTACATAACCATGGACTATAGCTCGGGCCCACTTGAAGACACAGAAAACAGACCGTTTTCAGGTTCAAGCTTGATTGGCGGAAGGGTCTTTTTACCCATCAGGCATGGAAATAGATCGGGTCCTTTGAGGACTGTTCGGAGCAAGCCAGCATTTTACAGGTTGAAGGGGAGTGTGAGTGAACATGGTGGACTTCTTGGGAAACGTGCTTGGAATGATGGTACCGGATTTGAGGCTTCGTTTTGAGAGTGTTTTTTTGAAATGTATAGTACCGAACGACCATGGTTATTGAAGAAGTGGTTTTCGGTGTAGTGTAGGAGTTTCAATTGCTGTGGTTTCATATTGGGGGGGGGGGGGGGGGGGGGGGGGATGAAATTCATTACCATACAAAGGGAGAGATGTAAGTTAAGTACTCTTTGTTATTGTACATGCTCTAAATTTTACTTTGGTTCAATGCTGGATTGAGCAGACGTTTTCCTTTGATTCTCATTTTGTTTTTGGCTATTTTTTTCTTGGGCTTGCATTTTCAAGATTGGTCTATAACTTTAACTTGGTCTTATGGGACGCAGTTACTGAAGTTTTTTTTTTTTTTTTTTTGGAGAAATATCGTAAATCATATAAATCAAAATTAGGACATCGGTTACATTTTAGTGGAGTTTTAAGTGAGAATTGTGCCCCAGGCACAGTTCTCATTGACACCAGGTTGCATTGCATGTTTTACTTGCACTAAATAATTTACAATTAATTCTTCAATTCCGATTGATAATATCCTCGAAACACATGATGCAGACAAAAATTTTGATTTTAAAAAAAAAAAATGTGTAAGAGGGGAACCCATCAAATTGTAAAAAATATATATAGGATAAAATAATTAGGAATTAACTATTTCCTCTAGCCAAACAGATTAGTGTCCAAGTCTGTTAAGGTCGATCTTTGGGCGAAACCTTAGGTCCAGTTCTGCCCAATGGATTGAAATTCAAGTGCGATTTTATTCACACCCAAAATATATCCCGGTATACCCGATTTAAATTCATAAATTTTAATTCATATTATATTTTAATATAAATTTACTAATAAGAACAACACATATTAAACCCTTAAATAATTTTTTTCCTCTTTCGTGATACACCTTAATCAGTTATTCCTATTCAGATCTCTGTATCTTCTTTCTCAAGAGATCAAAATTATTTCTTCTTCTTCTTCTTCCTCCTCCCTCTAAAACTCCAATCCACCCTACCAAAACTCATCATTATTATTAACATCATTTTTTTTTTTTGAAACCCTAAACCCTATAAGAAAGTTTGGACAAAATCAAATAATGGATGAGAATAATAATGAAAACAATTTTTTTAAGCAACTCATCAAAAAGGAGGTAAGTATTTATATAAAAGGATTTCACAATTTTTGTAGAGCACCGTCAATTATTCTCTATATCAATTTTTTTACAAAAATTAAAGAGCCCAGTAGTTAGATTAACAATAACATATTATTGGAGTTGTTTTTATTTTATCATTTAAATAGTACATTATTTGAGAAGTACTCTTTCTTGTTAACGCATGATACTTATGTGCTTATAAGTTTGGTTTTTACTTTTCTACGAACATTCTTGTGAATAATTTATAATATAATTTTTTTTTTTCTTGTATTGAAAAGTTTTATAATGCTTATGTAAAAGTTTGGTTTTATCCGTATTTATAATGTTTATGTGCTTATAAGTTTGGTTTTTTTTTTTAATTTATTTTTTGTGTTTGAGAATTATTTTATGTATTGAAAAGTTTTTGAAAAATTACAAATACCTCTTCATTATAATTTTTTATTTAACAGAATTAACTAAAAAATTGAAATTCATAATTACTCTCTTATACTATACGAGGAGCAAATATTCCGGCAAGCCCGTACTCCTTTCTTCCAAGCTTCGTTTCTGTCCGATCGCCTGAAAGCACAACGGCGGTGAGCTACCCAGCGGTATGTGGCCGGAAAACCCCTCCGACAACCAAGTTAGCACACACCTTGGGATAGAGGGAGAGAGATGAGAGAGTTTGAGGGTAAGAGTTTCTTACAAAATGTTCGTCCGTCCGCGTATGGGGGGCGCAGACATGCTTATATACCTTCTGCGCCCAAAATCTACTCCAAGTGATCTCTCGACACGTGGCTCTGCTATCCCATCTGTCAGCACAAATCTTGCTGAGCATCACCTAATCCCAACTGCCAGCCTACTCTGCTGGGAGCTCGGCAGCCGGTCAACATTATCTCGGCTACTAACGGCCATTCCACACTTGAGCCCAAGCGCTCCATAACCGAGCTACTCCAGGCCATGTTCAATATCGATCGTGCTCGGCTACATTCCGGCAAAGCCGAGCTCGGCTCAGCTCATGCTGGTTGGACGTCGGCGTTCCCACGAAGCTAACTCTCGAACCGTGAAGCCCAGTGAGGCAGCGAACAACTCGGCTTAGCCCTCACTTGACCGGTCCTTGTGCCTTGAAGCACCGCCTTGTCAGTGCCTAGCCTTGACCAAGCAACACTCTCTAGACAGGCCCAAAACTTCCACGGCCCAATGTGTTCAGCCTAAATCTGTCCGGCCATTACCACGGCCCAATTTCAGATCATAAATCTCCCTCTCAATTGCCCCTTAATTTCGTCCGCAAAAGCGTGACTGGGATTACATATTCCGACCGGGATAACACTTCCTCGGTCCTCAGAATGTGAATCGGCGACCGAGCTAGTTGACCTGTCTGCGTAATTTGTCCGGTTCAACTCCTCGGTTGACGTTCTCTTCTTCAAAAATTGCCCGGTTGTCTACTCAACTCTTCAACCTGTCCCTTTAGTTCTGACGTTGTCATAAATGGGGACACGTGGCAGGCTTCCATTGGACCTCGAGCAGCCAACCCAGCCGTCTACCAGAATTTGAATTCTTGGCGGTTTCTCCATCTATACATATAAGCCCCTTCTCCCTCATTTCGCTCCTACTGCCTCTCTGCAATCCGATGCTTCAGAGCTCAAGCATCTTCCTTCAAACCTCGTCTGCCATTCTTTGCGTTTGTGCTCGAAGAAACAGGCCTTCCATTGGTAAGTCCTTCAACCCATGTCATTTTCATTTGATATTTCTTTCTCTCTAGTACCAAATTCGTAGGTTTTAGGGCCTTTCCCACCCACAACCTTCAATGCCCCTTAGTTTCTTCGTTTTTCTTCAAACTGTTCTTCATTTTTCCTGAATAACACTGAGGATTTGGGGCTGACCGGGCTCCAGATCTTCATTTGATCCAAGAAATCAGTTTAACCGAGCAAATAAACTGTTTGCTGTAATCTTAGCAAAAACTGGAATGGCCATGGGGCTTGGCCGCTCGACCAGGCTAACAACTGGTCCGCTTGGGTGACCGAGCTCCTGGTTAGACTTTACGACTGTGGTGGTTTGGCACAATCCATGACCGAGCTAAAGTCAAGCTCGTTTTGCGCGACCGCGCTTCCTCTTATGCTTGCCATCCTTTTTCCTGCAGAGTCCAAGGAGACCAAAGACCAATTCTGAGGCTCAAAAGGACCGAACTGCCACTCATTCCTAGTCTGTGCCAAACCACCTCGGCCGAGCTAGATTAGTCGGCCACATGGGGAAATTTCGCTTCCTGGTGGATACTCCGGCTGCGCTAGCTACGTTCAGGGAGGAGTACGGCATCCCGGCCGACGTCCACCTTGAGCTCACAGAAGAAGAGACCACGTCTTGGGGCAGATCATAACAATGCCCCTTCACCGTGCTGTCCATCATTGAAGGAGGCCTCAGTTTCCCGCTCAATCCACTAATCACCGAATTTCTGCGCCGCACCGGGCTAGCACCCACTCAAGTGTCCACCAACACCTACCGGATAGTAAACAGTGTGCACGAATTAAACAACCGGTTAGGCATAAACCTAGGTTTAGCCGAGATACTGCGGCAGTACACCCTGGGGCACACCGGCGATGGCCTCGCCTACTACCTTAAGATTAGGCCGGGCAAAGAAAAAATTGTGACCAGCACACCAGACAAGGACTTGCATGATGACGATTTCTTCTAGGTGTCTGGCAATTATGAAACAGCCGAGGTATCGGGCTGGTTCATAAGCAAGAACTTTGGTTCTACATGTAAGCTATTCAAACTTGCTCGGTTAGCTTACTTTCTTCATAGTTCTGTACTTAACCATTTTTCTTGTTTCTTTTGCAGCAATCCAGGCCTTGCAAACCAACTACCAATACCCCAACGTAGAAACCATCAGGACCGCGCTTCGCTACCGCGACCGAGATTGCAACGAGTTGCTCGGTTACACTCCAACGTACAGATACTTTGCTCCCCGCCGGAGTAAAGTTACAGACTTTCTCCGTGCTCCATCACCTCCTCCAAATCCAACTTTGCCAGACGTTCCACTAATCCGGTTGACAGAAGAGCAAGAGATGGCCAAACGAAACCGAATAAAAAACCTGCTCATCGCAACGTCTGCCGAGATACCGAGCATCGTCATCCGCTCGCCAACCGCCGGTCAGTCAAGCGGCGCCGTGGTCGCCCTAGCTTCTCCAGCTGCCGGGCAGTCAAGCCAAGCAACACGCCGGCCTGGCAAAAGAGCTCGCGCAGACCCGTCTGCCGAGCTGATTACCGAACTAACCACCGAGCAACCTACTGTCACAGCTGACCCAACACCAATCTGGCGTCCGCTACTCAAGCACTGGGGTAAAGACATCCCGGCGACAGCTTCGATCAAGGGCGACAAAGAGCACCTACTCGCCTACGATCTTTCCAAGACCCTTCTCCTACCGAGCGACGTGGTCGGCAGCGACCACGTCCCTGACACCCAGTTGGTGAAGTCGTCTGTCAAGTCCATGGCCAGGGTAAGCTTCAATCTACCTCTGAAATTTTCACTAGTGTTTGCACGGTTTCTTCTCTGATCAGGTTTCCTTTTTGCAGGCCATCCAAAAACAACACTTAGTCATGGAGCGCATCAACCGACTTCGGCAAAAGGCAACCGACACTACCAGCCAAGTCCAAAGCCTCCAAACCGAGCTTGGCCGAGCAAAGTCCTCGCTTGAAATTGCCAACACCGACAACAACCGGTTGCTCGGCCAACTCGACGAAGCCGAGAAAAAGAGGGACGAGCTCCA